CCCCCCCCTACGAGCCTCCCTTCTTAATATCAATGATTTGCTAGCTCTCTCTTTCAAGAATACAAGAAAAGACAGAATTATATTATAGATCACCTAAAGTCGTTTCTGAGGTATCCTTACCTTGGTCCACGTACTTAAGATCGAGGCCCGCCGTGTCAAGCGTATGGTTTGATCTTAATTTTCCATGTCTTTCTGTACCTGATATATATCAATCCCAATTACATCAACTCTCCTTCAAATTTTTTTTTTTTTTTTGGTTTCTTATCTTTGTGTCACAGGATGGGCTTGCGTTCTATGGAGAGTACATCACAGAGTAATTGATACGCTATTTTTCATAAACTACAAAAATGAATTTTCTTTAACGCTATGCTTGGATAAAAGTTAGTGAAAGGAAGGGTAGGAAGGAGAAGGGAAGGAAAAGGAGAAGTAAAGAAAAGGAAATTATTGATATTAATTTTGTTTGGATAAATAAAAGTAGAGAAGAATAAAAGATAATATTTTTATTTAATAAAATAATTTTTAAAAAATAAAATAAAATAAAACACTTTTACATATTTATTCTTTTAAAAAAATTTTAAAAAATAAATATATAAAATCAATCCTTCCGAATCCCTCCAATTTGAAGAGATTAAAAATAGAAGAAAAAAGGAAATTACATCTCCCTTCATCTCCTTCTCTTCTCCTTCAACTTCCTCAATCCAGTAAAAGTTAAAGCTGAGAAAAGAGGATTTTGATTTTGTTTTGTAAGATACCTCAATATTATCAATTATTAGCAATACGTTCAAAATGCCTTTCCGCGTGAAAGTCGTCCACACTACTGTCTCTCTCTCTCACTCTCATACGTTGTTTCCCTAGATGCTAGCTCTCTTTAAATACCAGGAAAAAGAAGCCATCATTCCCTTTGCGCAATCTTTTTCTCTCATCCCCTCCCTTCTCCTCTATTTCTGCACAGGAAACTTAAGGCTACAGATATGGAGGAGAAGATCATTCAAAAACAAAATCACCAACAAGGTTCCAGGTATGCTACCTCTTATCAAATTAAATTTTAACGATTCTTACAATTCACTTCATGTTCTGTTCCGTAATACGTTCATGAAAGGTGGTTTTCAGTCATTCAGTAATTGAGTTAGTAACTGACCCGCGCGGCTAATCTCCTTTGAACTCATCCTAATGTTTATATATATATATATATATATATATGTATGTATATATCTAAACTCTGTTCTGCATAGTGCAGTTCATATGGTGGAAAGAAAGCAAGCAAGAAAAAGCCTCACAACTCTGCTCTCCGCTTCCGCACCAACTCCAATCTGGCGATGAAAGCTTCTAAGGCCCGTGGAAGAAATATAGGGATATTGAGGCCCATGGTCAAGGTATATATATATACATACCTCCATTTACTCAAGAAATCCCATCTAATTTTTAATATATCTTAACAAATGAACTGATTCATATGGTTTTTAATTATTTGGTTCAAAGAAGACTCTGGTGGAAATGATGGAAGCCAAAACTGTGGAGGTGCGCTGCGATGGAGAGTTGACTAAGGAAATTGTAGCTACTGCTGAAGACATGAAACTCGATCTGGATCTGCTGAAGATTTCAATTTTCCAACATTCCCATGACATGCTTCGTATCTCAGGTGCAGTGGACAAGCTTGCAGAGGTTATGCTGCTTCAGCTTGATTAATAATTAGCTGAGCAATGAAGGATATAAAAAGATTTCAGAAACTGATGCATAACTAATTTGCTTTCTCTTATGTGATGTGTCAAGTTTAATAAGGTCTGTTGTTGTTTTTTTTTCCTTTTTTTTTTTTTT